AATAAAGTTATCTTTAATCGTGCCTTTAATGTCTTAGAAACGCTACGTAGATTAGCCGAGAAGGACCCGAAGGTATAGGAAAAGAAGTAGCGCGAGTACGTATATAAACTCTATAGCATTATCGAGAAGTTCCGCCTTAGATCCGGCGACGTCCTTAAGGAGCTCCTTAAGGGCCTAAATAAGGAGCGCGATGCGAATAGCGGACAGGCATAGGGCACGATGTACGCTAACGGCCGCTCGGTCTACTACGCTAGTTATAACGGCCTATCTAAGAGCCGCACTCTCTACCTATCGCTCCTACTAGCTAACATCGTTATCGACGAAGAGGTTAAGGCAGAAGTGCGCCGTTACTTACGTACTATTAGTCCTAAGGTGGCTCGCGAGTAGTATTATAGCAAGAATGTAGAGTAGATACGGGCGAGGGCTAGCCCGCTACGGACTTTCTTTGCTTCTATAGGTTGCTTCTTCTCTAATATTTTACCGGCTCTAGGTCTTTTAGCATCGGTACGATAGAATAGATAGTGTTTCTCGAGTAGTATTAGTATTGTTCTTGTTGTATAATGCGATACGAGGGCCGAGTAGAGCTATTAGATACTATAAATCTAATTACAAAAGGCATTCTGCTACTACTCTCTTGTCCGCGGCGGCCTAAAGTACTTCCGTAGCTCTTATTCGAATATCCGTCCTTCTAGTTCGTTCGAGTTTTCGGATATAGGGTGCGGATTCGGGAGTATAATAGTAGTATAGTAAAAAAAAAACAACCGCTAAAGTCGAAGTAAATATTAGAACTTCGCGTAAAACTTCCTAAAATGGACGTTATATAATTAAACTGTTAGTAGGTCTAATATATCTAGTATTACATCTTCGACATTTTTAAATATTGCATTTTAATCCGTATCTAGTCCCGTATCGTAAGTATCTAAATCCGTATCGGGTACTACGGCTACAGATACGCCTTTACGTAGATATTTTGCATTAAAATCCTACACTTCCTTATAGATTTTATTAATACTAGCTTAGTACGGGTTAGGTATAATAGGAGGATTATCTGCGCTACGGTACCGATCGCCTACGCTACGGTATATAGCAAAGAGTCGAGCGGAGAGCCCCTAAATTTCGTAAGTTGTATCCTTATAGGAATGATTAGTAGTATTCCGGATCCCGAATTCGTCCTCGAAAGCATTATTTACTTGCATTGTAGCGAAAGTAGTATATAAAACACGATCAAATGTTTCTACTATATTATACGTCGAATTCTTGAAATTTCGTATATTATTTTTATACCGTAAATTAATTAGTTCGAGCAATTCGTCTACCGCGATCCCTTTCCCGGGCCTGCCTGTTATATTTACGACGCCGCCGGCTAGAATCGCGCTACGGAGATATAGAGATGCGCCCTTAAGTAGCTAAATTAGATATAGTATCTCGCGCCCGTAGTTATATTATCTAGCTCCGAAAAATACTACTGCGAGCTACGGCAAGAGACGTTTAATATAACTAATATCTATATTCCGAGTCGTATATCGGAGAGTTAACTAGAGCTCGGTTATATAGAGTCGCCGATAAAGTGTAGTCTAGGTAGGATCGCGGATTCTAGGCTATGCCTACGGGATAGGCTCTAACCGTAGCGGAGTCCGGCGCATCTACTACGGTAAGAGTAGCTTTGTCCTAGGTGCACTATATACCCGTTCCTATTCTCTTTCTAGCTATACTAAAGGCCGCAAGTAGCCATTATATATAGCTGCTAAGAACTAAAGATATTTATCCGTAGTAAGACCTGCTATAGTAGGTATAACCGCCCTTAGCTTACTAAAATTAGGAGGTGAATCCGTAGGGAAATATTCGCTATAGTACAGCTACTTAACGAATAAGGCGATAATCCTTATAGAGTACCTATAAAGCGTAACGGGACGTAGTATCTAGTATTTTAGTTTTTTCTCGGTTAATCCTTTCGCACTAAATGCCTACTTGTCCTAGAAAAGGCTGTATTCCGACCTAGTATCCTAACTAACACTCTAGAAAAGGCGAACTAGTATATAATAGAGGTTTATAGCGGTATAGAAGAGTCCCGTAACGGGCATTATCTAATCCCGCCGCTCGAATAGCCTTATACTTTTAGCATTTTTACCTTTGTTGCTCCGTATACGCTATACCGACTATTAATCTCCGTAGAAAAGCTACAACCGTATAAGGAAGTCTGCGACTAGGTTAAGGCGTAGCTTATATAGTATAATGTCCTCTTATACCGCGGCGTTCCTATCGATAGTACTCTCGCTATAGTAAATCGTACTAAGCGGATAGAATTCGGTTTTAGAGGCCCGTAGCGGACACAGTCCTAGCTACTATACAATCGACTTAACCCGAGGGTCCTCGACTACGGTTACGAGCTTATTTTCGAAGATGCTTATAATCGCCGCGTATATATAATACATCGACAATTTCCGAAACTATTTATCTTCTCTAAGCGTAGGGGCATTACAGATATCCGTAGCGTCTAGTCGCGTATCTGCCTTAAAATCGTTAATACGTAGGCTAGTATCGGGATAGCGAATATACGGAGTAAAGCGCACTAGCAGCGCCGTAGTAAGATTGCGTATAACCGACTAATTAGATACAGTCTAATCCCGAACCGTATCCTAGAAATTAATATTGTCGTATACTACGTACTATATAACATTATACGCTAACCGGACGAGCCTTTCCTATATAGAATAAGCACGAGTTAACTACAATACGATTAAATAACTACCTTCTGCTCGCTCTTAGAAAGCTTCTCCTTACGGTATAGTGCTATATACGTAGCGATTAAACCAATCCCCGATAGGACATCTAATGCCCTCCGCTTTACGCTATTTAATAGGAGGTACCGACCGAATGCCTTTGCAAACTAATTAGATTTGTTCTAAGAGCGAGTATAGAGGATAAAGGCAGTAAGGGTAAATATTCGTATATCGAGATTATCCGGCTCTTTATTACGCTACTTAACTAATACGCTACGGGCAAATTAATGCTATACTAGAGCAATATCCCGGATAACCTTATATACATTCTTAAACTGCTAAACGGAGAATTGATTATCGAATCTATTAACAGGTTCGAGTAGCGTAGCGGCCTAGTCGCCCGCTACGGCCTCGGATACCTCTATAGCGGATCGAAGAGTCCTCCGCTATTTCCTATATAAGCTCTTTCTAATTAGGTAATCGAGTTTACGAATAATATTACTATTCTTACTACTAGACAACTTAACCTACTTCGATTTACGTAGCTCTGTATTTAATATAATAGAGAGCTAGCCGACGCGATACGTATAGGACTTACTCCGTAGTTTACTAGCCTAGTACCGTACGACCTTCCCTATAGTAAGGTTGTTTTCCCGTATCTTACGTATTACTTCTTTATAGCGCTGTCTTTTATCGCGACGAGCGCGGGGCTAGCGAGTTACGTAGCGGGTCGACTCGTTATCGCTACTACTAACGCTACTACCGTCTATAATACTATCTACTTCTAGTTATAGGCGATCCGCTAGGTCCTCCTCTTTAGTAGACCTATTACTTAGATGCTTATAAGATAGAACACTAGAAAGATCGGAGGAGATAGATAGACTAGAAGAAGAGCGACTAGATATATATCTATTTATAGTAGAAGATAGAGATAGTCCTATAGAAGTAGGCTAGAAAGCCGTAGAGGGTATAGTCGTAATAGAAATACGCGATAATATAGTCGCATCTACCTAGCGTATATCGCGACGCGGGCGCTACGACGACGACGACATGTTTATACCTAATTTCGTACCTAGGAAACTTCGGGAAAAAGATAGTAATACGGAGAGAGGTATTCCCGCTATAGAGAGAAATTTTTACTATAGAAAATAGTCGTTCTAGTATTAAAACTAGGGTTTTGCGATTCTCCTATACAAATATTTAATATAGGAAGTCGAAATCCCGATAGAAACGGCCTAGACGAGAATAGCGATTCCTACATTCCCCGCCCTAATTAGTAGAAAAATTTGCTTAGCTCCGTATAGTTTTTATCTAAGCCCGCTACGGAGTAGTCTATATACGGGACACGGACCGCTATATTCCGCAAAGGCAAATTGTCTAATAATAAAACGCAGGTGAGAATATAAAGGTAGGAATCGCTAACATTCTCGTCTAGTCTCGAGATAGGACTTAATCAAACCTTTCGTAGCAGAGAAGAACGTCGAAGCAGTGAGTGTCTGTCTGCTCTCGAGAGGACATCCTTGCCGGAAAGAAGCTTGTCTCTTGGATGGAAATGAGTCCAGACACGGTAAATGCGGGCCAGCCAAAAAGCGCCACGGCCACGGGGCTGGCTTTGTCGTACTCAAGCTATTCTACGCGGCGCCATGTCGTGCAGCACTTACCCGCCATGCTATGGGCTCGTGAAGGTTCTTGAATAATAATGACGTTCGCTCACAGGCCGTAGAGAAGTGTATAAGTATCCGCCGGGCTTGACGGTGGCCATGGTGGGGTGTATGTGTAGAAGAGATGGATGTGGTGGTGAGTGAATGGAGTGTCGCTTCCGCTTCCGCTTCCGCAGACGTCACACGGCCACGGCCCACGGCCAGCAAAGATGGTCACGCACATGCATCTCGCGCTAGCACTCTCCGGGCGGGCTTGGTAGCCGATTGACGCGGTCCACACGGTCGAGACCTTTCCCAAGACCACGGCCCGCTCTGGTTCCATTCAAAGCGCCAAGGTTGCATCGCCGTGAGCCCTGAGATGATGTTTTGCCTTTCCATCTTACGCCAGAGGTAACATCGTGTCGACTGCTCCTGCATCCCCTGCCAAACACGTCGACCTGTGCGTGAACGTGAACTTCGCAGTGTTATTATTGCTCCGTACATCCCATCACAAGCATCAGCACCGCATCCTGTTCGGCACACACAGACCACCGTCCCGTCTGCATGGGCCCGCCAACAGCACTGTGGATGGGTGCGACAGAGTTCGCTGGCGACGAGAGATTATTATTGCGTGGCAGGAATGGGCGGGAGCGATGAAGGACAGCAGGCCATCGAGCGCCAGACCATCTGTTTTCCGCGCCACGGCACTCAGGATGTCTTGCAAGCGGGACACCCTGGCTTCAACGACGAGATCGCCCGGCTGTATTCCCCTGCAGAGAACAATGCCCTGGAGAGCCTGCTTGCCTTGAAAGCCGACCTGCGACTGGCCTCCACCGACGACTTCTGGACGATCCTCACCGAAGGCATGTCAAAGCTGGTCGGAGCCGACATTTGCTTCGTCATGAAGCGCGTCTTGGTTGATGACCAGGAGTCGGCCGTGGAAATGCCGCCGATTGGAGAGCCAGGGTCATGTCTGATGGCTGCCGCTCTCCATTACCATGCCAACGATGGATCGAAGAGCAATGTCAAGTCGACCAAGTTCCATGCGTATGGATGTCCTTGCGCTTACATGCGCCACGATAAGGTCTTCTTGATTCCTGAACGGCTAGGAGACTTCATCACCAACAACCCCAATCAGCTGCCGACACCGTGCGAAGCATACCTTGCTTTGCCTCTTTTCGCCCAAGGAAAGTGCTTTGGTCACTTTGGCACATTATTTTCCGTTGAGCGAGCACGTCAACGACAGCTATCCTGGGCCTTCATGGAAATGCTACTGCATTCACTGGAAGACTTGATCTGTCAACGGTTCTTGCAGGGCGCCAACTTCATTCGACCACAACAAGACTCTACACCTCCATCTCGCGTCATTCCACATGCCGCAATTACTGCAGCACAGTCACTACGACCTTATGCTGGAAGTTTGTCCCATGAGCTACGGACTCCAATGCAGGGCATTGTAGGCATGCTTGATGTGATGTACGCCACAGTGCAGGAGGCGGTCGACGTGCAGGGCGATCCCAGGCTTCGGAAAGTGTTCGAGGAGCTGAAGGACCAGATCGAGACTGTTCAAGACAGTTCACGCAGAGCCGTGGAAGCAGCAGACAATGTGGTCCACGCTTACGACATGGATATGAGCGTGCCCGAAGCTCCAGCACATCTCTTGGAAGAGCCGAGCGATTCACATTCGCCCTATTCTGCGGCCGCGGAGAAAAGACCTGATATTCTTGTTGCTGGCAGCAACCTACCATTATCTCGTCCTAATAAGCGCCGGCGAGAGGGTGAGATCTCAAGAAGTGGTAGCAACGCCAGTGGCTCTGTTGCTCCTGGGACGGTGAAAAGACCGCGCACGGACCGCACTTTATCTACACAATGCACGCATTGCTCGGAAGTCAAAGAAGGAGTGCAGGAGGCTCAAATTGTTCAAGAGCAGTCGCAAGAGAATGCCACCATTGCGGACGTCCCTTCTGCAGAGGATGCAGCTCTCGCGGCCGGTGTAGGTGGCCAACCACATCGCGTTATCGCACCAGGACTTCGCCACACCAGTCTTCGCGAGCTCCTACAGCATGTCATCAACGAAGGTCTGAAGGTAGGAGGCCGGCCGGACTCCGCCATGGCACAGGAAACGGAGCATGGCGAGATTATCGAAGTCAGGACGAGAGGCTCAGATGGGACGCTGGGGCAGAAGTTCATCGAATGGAGAATCGACCCGAATGTGCCCAACACGATGTTCGTGGACGAAAAGGATTTGAGCAAATTGATCTCATGCGTCTTTTTGAACGCGATTAAATTTACGCAGAGGATCGATGGCCGCATTACCGTCGATGTGCGAATGACCCAGCGAGGACGATACATCTCAATCAAAATGGCCGACAACGGACCTGGCATACCTGCTGCTTTTCTACCTCGACTGTTCAAGCCATTTTCACAGCAAAATGCATCGACCACACGATCAAGCGAAGGTCTCGGGCTGGGTCTGATGGTGGCAAAGGGCATTGCGAGAAAATTGGGTGGCGATCTAAATTGCACCAAGGCTTTGACAGAAGGACCAGACCGTGGAAGTGAATTCGAGATCAAAGTCCCTCTGCACGCTGGAGAGACCATCAGTCGACCGGAATCGCCATTCGGATCACCACTTCCTCGTAAAGCAACAGTAGCGCAGCCGGAATCACCGCTCTTGAAACCTTTGCCCGCAGCACCCGGCAGCCCTCGCAAGCTTTCACGCGCATTGCAAGACGTAGTCGGCAATGGACCAGCGCGCATGTGCGATTTGCCAAGCCAAGCTGCACCATCAACCCCGCCCTCGCCAAAGACCCAAGTTGTGAACGTGACGGTACCAAGAGCTGACACGGACAGCCCGCCAACGACTTTATCCACACCGTCTCCACCGGCACAGATTGAGGCTCCCCGCCCACGATTCAGAAAGTCAGTCGGCAACCCCGAGATCGATCGCGATCTGGCGAAAAAGTACCCACTTACATTCCTCGTTGCGGAAGACAACAAGATCAACCGAAAACTTCTCGTCAGCATGCTGGGAAAGTTTGGATACAGAAGCATTGTCGAGGCTCACGATGGGGCTGAGGCTGTTCGTCAGATGTCGATCCCTCGTGCACCACGCGAGCAGATCGATGTGGTGCTTATGGATCTGTGGATGCCATTGATGGACGGCTACGAGGCTACAGAGCGTATTCTTAGCCTCGACACCATCGCGCAAGACCACAAGCCTACGGTCCTTGCCGTTACAGCCGACGTCACGGATAGTGCGTTGGAGCGTGCTGCGGAGGTCGGCATGAAGGGGTTTATGACGAAGCCGTACAAGCTGCACGACCTGCAGCGGCTGATCATGGAGTACTGCGCCATCACTACGGCTGTTCAAAGTCCTCGTATGCCTTCCTAACACTCACGCATCAGCATGAGAAAGCGCGGGAAGGAACTCAACATGAAACCAGGAAGGCGTTCGGAAGCAAGGCGATGCCGATGCAAGGGAAACGCATTTGGGCTTGGAACGGACTACAGTACGAGCCGGCAATGCCAGATTTTTTTTTTTTTTTTTTTTTTTTTGGTTGTATAGAGAGGAATTTTCCGCGGACCGGACGAAAAGATAACAGATACCCCAGGATGAGTTGGACGCTAGGAAGTCGGCAGCACAAGAAGCATATGAATTGAAAATAGGACAGATAGAGAAAGAAAGATCCGTTTCGGAGATTTGGGTATTTTGAATCTTGTTGTAATTTGAAGGGTATAAGTACTATTTTTGATCTTATGTCATACAATGTGGGCTACAAGCGCGATGGTATCGTTGGGACCGGAGTTGGCTCCGAGAAAGTTCTACTGAGTAGTTCTAGAGCGCGGCTAGGGCCGTGCACCCGCATTTGCATCTGAAGTCGCGAACCAGCGCGTGAACTACATTTCAACCCCGAACTCACAATTCCACTTCCCACAACCACAACCCTCCTCCGCAATCCCCACCACCATGCCATCCACCACCCTAATCACCGACCCAACCCTCCTCTCCGTCCTCTCCGCCGCCGCAGAATCCCGCCGCCAATGTCTCGAAATGCTCACCTTCATCGAGCAAAACGGCGCCTCAGCCTACGAAAGCTCCGACCTCAACCTCTCCCAAAAGAAACTCGCCTCCCGCCTCGCGATTCTGCGGGGTTTGAATCGCAACGCTGTCATGAGTGTGCGGGCTACGAAACAAGAAACTACGGAAGCCAGACAGGAAATCGATTCGCTGCATCTTACGTTGCAGAATTTGTTTTATGAGCAACGGCATTTGAGGGGGGAGATTGGGGCGTGTGAGGAGTACGAGTAAGTTTGGTCGAAGCATCCTCTCTCATGTATGACCTCTTTCAACCAACAACTAAATTCTGTATATCAGTCATAAATACCTTTCCCTCCCCATGCTCCCCGTCGAAGACTTCCTCGCGGAACATCCTCAGTTTCTCGAGGCCTCGGATCATGAGGTTACGATTGCGAGGATTCACGCGGAGTATGAGGCGAGACGTGCGCTTGAGGAACAGAGGTTGAAACTTGTGAAACGGAAGTTGGAGCTTGAGAAGGAGACTCTCGGCAAGAAGGAGGAGTTAGCGAGGTTGGATTTGGAGATTGAGAGGTGGGTTGCGGGGCAGGGGAAGGTTTTGGAGGTTTTTAATAAGAGGGAGGAGAGGGTTAAGGGGGAGGGAAGGAGGAGGGGGGAAGAGGGGGAGGCGTGAGTAAAGGAATTTCAAATTTGTGGGAGACCTCGAAGGTATGAGGGGTGAGGGGTTTGTACCTGTTCCGGCCTGTTCTGGGACTGGTGTCCACTGTCTGAGCTGAGCACCGGATGCTGCGACACGTTAGGTTGCTTTGGAGCTGAACGACTATACGGAATCACATCAGAAGAGCACTCCGAGTAACAGGTGCTGGAGGTTTTCAATGGCCGTGACGACACGTTAAGAGCAGAACTCTCTCTTCTCATGTGAGCGAAGATATCTGCAGCCGCCGTAGCACCCCTACTTCTGCGCCAGACATCCACTGCCTGAGAACTGTCACTTGATGCCATGACACGCAAAGTTCTTTTCGGAGGAGCTGGAGGAGGACCATTCGACGTGAGCCTGCTTAATCGCGTCAGAAGTGCACTCCGAGTACTGGGTGCTGGCCGTGACGACACGTTAAGAACAGAGCTATCTCCTTCTCATGTAAGCGAAGAGATCTGTAGCCACCTACCATTACTCTCGGCCGACTTGACAGCATCACACCGCCTGGCAGTTTCCGTCGCCGGTAAAGACTCGTTGAAGCGGAAGAAGGATCGCAAACGAAATCTCGGCTTGTCTAGATGTGGATATAGATCTCAAGTGCCTCTTTCCTCTCCGCGGCCTATCTAACGCCGATCCGACGAAGCGAAGCGAAGCAGCCTTATAATACAGATATACCGTAATATATAACGCAGTTTTAATAAGCGGCGGTAACCTCTTCTATCCCTAACTATCTATAGTAGCCTACTATATTCTTGTATTCTTAAGTAGAACTACCCTAGTACCGGTAAGCAAAAACTATAAATAATAGTACTATAACGCTTATAGGGGGGTAAATATAAACACGAAAGCGACTTACTAGTACTATTTAATTTAGATATCTATTCGCTAGCGATCTGTTCCTTATATCTCGAGCTCGTTAGGAGTAGTAGAGGAGCTAAATAAACTTATTACTTGTAAGTTGCGTACTAGCTTAGTATTAAGTCGTATACTATAGTAGACAATAGGAAATTCGAGGAACTCGAGTACGAATAATATTATTAAGGTACCTTATACTAATAAGTTAAGAATCTCGAGTATAATAAGTTCGGAGAAGATAATAAAATATTTACTACTAGTAGTAGTATATACGAAGAATTTTTTTTTTACTACTACTCTTTTTTACTTACTAGCTACTAGCCTAGTTATAAGTAGTATTGTTTCCTAACGGCTATACTAGTACTCTATTTAAGCTTTAGGTAGGTATTAATCTAGATAATAAATCTATAAATAAATATACTAGCCCTAAGATAAGTACCTTATAGTCTATAGATAACTATAATATCTAATTGTTAGGACTAAAGAGGTTATACGTAATTAGTATATAACTAGGCTCGAGTAAAGCTAGGGTCTTAGTACCTTAGGTAGGGCTTAGCGCTTAGCGTTAGGCTAACTTGCCTACCTTCCTCCCTCTCCTCTTAGCTCTCTATCGAATACTATACTAATTTACTACTACCCTATCTACCTACTAATATAACCCTTCTTATATAGTATTCGATCTACCCTTTAAGAGTAGTAGCTAGATAGTCCTTATTTCAAGCTTTTAGCGGTATAGCTACGAAAACTATCGATTTAACTATATTATTATAGCCCGCGGCTACGCCTTTATATATAAGACCCTAGATGCCTTAGGCATCCGCTAAGCCTTAGCATCCGCTTAGTTAGTACTCCGGACTATTTCCTTCGCGCTTCCCTCGCGCTCCTCTTAGATAGTAAAGGACGGAAACTAATACTACTACTACTACTTATAGCAATAGTATAGGCTACTAAGGGTAATATAACCTATAGCAATATAGGTAGCTATATTTAGCAAGATAGGATAACGAGACTGTCGCTTAGGCTAATAACTAGAGCCCTATAATATAGGCATTATAGAAGTGTAATATAAACAATATGCTATACGAGGTTAATAATCTGTCTACTCTATAGAAGGAGGCCTCTTATATAGGCTTAAAACTAGCCTATAAGTATAGGGCCGGTTACTAGCTAATATCCCTCCCTTTCTTCGTATCTAACTAGATACGCTTTATATTGCGCGTATAAAACAAACATATATGCGTCCTTAGCGCTCTTAGCTAAGGCCGTTTTTAGAACTCCGTAATAATACCCCCGGGGTAGCATTAATCCTAGATACTATAATTATACAAAAACAACTTCCTAAGCAATACTATATAGACTTACTATTGCTTTAACGCGCCGTAATCCTTACTAGCAATAACCTTATCTACTAGTCGGTTCTCGAAATCTCCTCTATATACGTAGAAGCTATTAGTATCGAAGTACTATCCCTCGTAGAAAGCTTAATTAACGAGGAGGTTAGTAGCCTTTTCCTTCGTAGCATTCTCCTAATTGTATAGATATTCCTTAAGTCCCTCGTTATTAAGCTAGAGGATCTATTCAACTTCGTTCTAAACAACGTAACTTAACTAAGGAATCCTACTAACTAGGGCGTCGGAGATATAGCCGAGGCCTTCGACTAAGATAGCCGTAGGGAAAGCGAATAGTACGAAGGAGTTAGAGGCTAGGAGAGCGGTTAGATTGCGGTACGCTTTAGCAACCTAAGAGACTATTAAGTTCTCGTAGCCCTTAACCTTAGTGCTATTAATAACGCGAGAGTAGCCTAGGTTAATTAATATATAGTTGCTCTTAGTCTTTAGATTACTATATAGTAGGTATAGTACCTAAATAGAGACTTCGCATTCCTTTAGAGGGTTAAGGATCTATTCCGCTTTACGCCCCTCGCTATTAGGCTAACTATCGAATATATAGTCGAGGTCGTCGTCGGTAAGGTGCTTATTAGTAAGCTTGCCGATCTTGCTTAGTAGAACTAGGCTACGAGCCTTAAGCTTCTTAACCTAGTTCGTAAAGACCTCGGGATAGTATATACCTTTAATAATAGTAGAGCAGCTAGTCTTATCCTTAGATATAAGGCAGACCTTAATACGTAGGTAACTAGTACCCTCGCTAGCTGCGAGCTTAACTATATCTTGTCCGAGACGAGTAGACTCCTTAGAAGGACAGTTTTTATAAGTACCGCTAACCTTAAAGAACTTAGTAGGCTTAGGGATAGAGATAAGCTCGTATATATAATTAGGTCGAAGAGCGATAGCTAAGAGCTATAGGGCAGGGTACTAGCGGACGATTTAGTTGCTTATACTATAAGTTTAAAGGGCGTTACGGCCTTCTTGCTTAGACTTAGGCATCGCACGTATATACTAAAGGTACATTTTAAACTCCTCCTATATTAGGTCGATAAAGAAAGGAAGATATGCTCTACGAGGCTCTTATAACTAACTAAAGACTTAAGGGAAGATAGTATTGCTAGTCTAGCGAAAGCGGTCGAAGGAGGTACCTTAGCTAAGGATGCCGGTAACGAACTTGCTCTAGCGATCTGTTAGCGTAAGGGCGCGAGTAATAGTACTAGTAGGGTTAAACGCGTAGAGTCCTAGAGATATCGGGGCGGTAACAGGGCGTCTAGGAAACTAGTTAGTATAGGCCTAGTTAGTCTTAAGAGTAGCGAAGGCATCTTAATTAGCGACATTACGTCTAATCTTTAATAGGCGGCTAATAAGGACACTCGTCTTAGTACTAGTATAGAGACTATACGCCTTAGCGGCCTTCTTAATATAGCTAGCATATATAGTAAACGGCTCTTCGCCTAGCTTACTAAGGTCGTCGTACTACTAATAGATAGATAGAGCGATAGATGCTTTACCTATATCGGCCTTAGGAACTATATCGATCTTAGTAATAAGATATGCGATAGAGTTACCCTTATAGGAACTATAGATGTTCTTAGTTAATAGCATCGGCGAGAGGCCTCTATACCTACGCTTACTAAAGGAACCTTCGGAGGAAACACTGTCTTCTAGTAGCGTATCTAGTATATTAATATCCGAGTTACTATAGTTAGTACTAGAAGGTGCAGTAGACTTCTTAGCGGCCTTCTAGAATGCCTAGCGAGCCTATAACGCCTTCTAACGCGCTACTTCTGCCTTAGCGCGCTTATCTTAAACTTCTTAAAGGACCTTACGGTTGCGGGTCGAGCGACGATCTTATACCTATATCTCTATAGCGAGCGCTAGACTAGTAGCCGTATCGGCTTCCGTCTTAAGACAAAGGACCTTGCGTTCGAGAACATCTACGATAGGAGCCTCTTAACCCTTAATAATAAAACCTATACTATTAATACGATAGCCCTTCTCTTTTAGTAGATCTTTAGTAGACTAGGCGTTAAGATCTACCTCGGCAATAGCGTCCTTATACCGCTTCTAGTAGGCTATTATAAAGTCGTTAAGTGCGAAGGTTAAGTTAACTAATTACTTGCCGTACTTCTTACTAGTAGTAGAGACTCGATAGATTATAGTACGGGAAAGGTACTCTACTCCCTCGCGACGGACCGGATACTTATTAACGAACGACGCAACCTACTTAGTACGCTCTTGTCTATCGTAGGCGAAGTTAATAAGGCTCTTTAGGAGACTGCTCGGACCTCCCTACTACTCGAAGGCTTAATTAAGGTTCGTAAAGCGTATACGAATCGTAGTGCCCGCCGTCTCGAGGCTATAAACGATAGGAAAGGCTTAATAAAGCTCTATATCCTAAAGAACGTCTCGCTTGAAGATACGCTTACTAATGTCCTAGCGTAAGTTGTTTATACCGTATAATACTAAGATAGTAGCCTTCTTAATATTTCGGTCGATAACGCGTAGTAAGGTACGAGCGGTCTTAATCTTCTTTTAGGGGTCGTCGATAGTAGTAACGATCTAGAAATAGTGCTCGAGACTAGTTATAGCGACTAAGGCGCTATCGGAGGGGGCTTCGATCGGGACTAGTACGGCTAGGTTAAGGGCTAGTAGGTTGCTACTACTGCTAGCGCCTAG